GTGCGTTATCTCTAGTGTTACTTGTTTCGTTGACTAATTTCTTGATGATAATTGGTTCGCTGCCATCCGACAGACGTATTGTATCTTGATTGCTGCCATTCTCTGACGGTCTTTTGCGATCACTATAACTGCCTTCTCCTTACGTTATCTACTTAAATGCCATACTCTGATTGTCTAATGATACTGTCCTCCTTGCCCACTTAAGTATAATTCAACAAAGAGCCAATCTCATTAGTATACGTTAATGTATCTATTCCCTTAAAATCTTTGTTTTGTTCAATCTGAATTTTCTCCATGGGTTTTATTGTTTGTGTACTTTAATCTCTGTCGTTTCAAATTCTAGTTTCAGTTTTTTTATTTCCTATATCCCTTGCTACCCGTATTTCCTTTTAGGCAATTATTATATTGATGTCTTGTTCTATTTGATTTTTATTCAACTCTCTTTCAGTTCCAATTCTTTCTCTATTTTCATTCACACCTGGGCCTCAATTTCCACTTGTTTTAATTTTATTTGTTGGCATAGCATTAGCCTTTATGTGGATACTAGTTCATGTAAATTTCAATGAATAGACTCTAAAAAGCCATGTATACAATCGTATTAATTGTATTATACATTAAATCAAATAACAGTTTATTATTTCTATTTGAAATTCTATATATTATGGTTAACTGTGTTCAACGCCCCGCTGTGGACAAAGTCCCTATGGTCAAACCCCGTATGGTCAAAGCTCCGCTGTGGTCAAACCCCTTAAAGTCAAACCCCCTATGGTCAAAGCACCTGTGGTCAAAGTACCAAAGACCATACAATCAAGAGCAATATAATAAGTAAATGCAATATGAATCATTTCATTTAGTACTTAACTTGATATAATATCAACTCGCTGCATACCCGTGCTCCGCCACGGTAACTCTTTTTTAAATGTACGAACTTGGGAATCAGAACAAAACTAAACGCAATACAAACGCAACACAAACATAACACAACCTTAACAAAAGACTAACACAATACAACACAAACACAACACAAACACAAAAGAAAACGGAACACAATGCAAACAAACACAAAGCAAACACAAACGAAAACGAAAACGAAAACACAAACGCAACACACAACAAATAAACCGGGAGTGATCTCCCCTAAGCTTTCTCGAATATAAAATATAACTCGGAATATAGACATGATTTTTAATAACTTAAAATTTTTAAAAATAGAATAGAATCTCATAGAAAAAAAAAATTGCGCACCAAAAACAATAATGTGCATAATAGTGCGCAATATTATTACTACTCTATAAATTTACATACGTTTTTGAGAAATCGGAAATAGCATAAATTAGTACTTTTGGTCAACAAAAATTACCCAAAATTTGAAAGAAGTTAGATAATTAGATATTTTACTTTCATGTAAAATTTCATTTATCTTTCTGAAATAGTACTCAAGTTAAAGGCTTTTGAAAAATTCAAAGTACAAAAAGTACCACTTCCGGTTATTGGAAATCGCTCAAACGTTGAGATGGATCTACGATTTTGATAAAATACTTATATATGAAATTTCATCAACCTAGCTGTATCAGTACTCAAGTTATCGTGTTTACACACAGACAGACAGACAGACAGATAGACACACACACACACACACAGACATACGGACAAGATTGCAAAATTATGTTTTTTCCGTATCAGTGAGGTGTAAAACGTCGAGATTTGTAAAAATCTCGATTTTTTTTTTTTTGCACGACTACAAGACTTCCTCTGTACTTTGTATATACGAGAAAGTAAAAAGACAACACTCATAAATTTGCATTTGCATTTTGCTAATTATATTACTGCAACAGTAATTTCCCCATTGACGTCTGCAGAATTTGCAATCACATTTTGCTAATTATATTATTTGCAACACTAATTCTTTCTAGGAGGTTCGTAGGTTTTGCATTCACGATTTTTTTCAATAGTTTAAGTTTAATTTATTTTTACATTACCTCCCTTGGAAAATTACAAACAAGTTTGATTAATTCATTTTTTTCATCCCTATTATTATTAAAACGTATCCACTTTTCGAGGAATTTAAACAAAAATGATATTTGACATTGGTCCGTTTAATATGTTTTTGCAATGTGCGTGTATATTCGAAAGTGTAAAACATTGGCAACTATAAAATAAATTTAAGTCGTTATATAAACAAACCCAACTCTATTACTTATAATAAGACAATGCGATGGACTGGAAAACACTGCATGGTGCGATGTTTACTTTTATGGTTCCAAAATCTATAGTGATGACACGAAGAAGGAAGGAAGGAAGGACTGACACACTACCAGCCCGCTTATGTTATAGATTATAGATCTATCAAGTTATTTGGGTTTTGAAAAGTGGACTAAAGAGAATAAATAACTTAAATACAAAATTGATGTTTTTAGAAGAAACTGACTCGTACATGTAATGATATGTTGGCAGGCAAGGGAGATAAAGCTGACGTAATTACTGCTCAAAATATGATGAGAAAAACGTGACTAATGTACAAAATGAAGCTTTACATGTAACTAATATAAAGCAGTTATCTAGACAGCAGTTTACTTTAACAAACTACACATTGTTTTAAACAAAAAAAATTCTAGCTTACGCTGATGATGCAGCATTTACCCTCCAAACCGAAAAATCTATCATTCTAATAACAGACACTTTTCCTTGACTTTGGACTGGGTAGCGGGTCAAAAATTAACCTAATGAAAACCAAAATCATAGGACATTGACGTTGGATCAACAAACCAAATTACCCACTAAACATGCTAGGTATCAACAAATTAAAACTTTACGTCATAACCCACTACAGCAACCCACACACCAATAACGATGACGAATGGGAACAAGTCTCAAGCAAAAAAGAGACCTACAACATCGAGGTAGTTATAACCATAAACAAAATCCGTAAACAAAGAGACAGGGCAGACCTAGAGCAAAGTGCAAGGACTGTAGCTATCTACAGACAGACTATTTGGAACATTAGAATAAAAGCTAAACAGCTCATGGGACACGTACTAGACTTGATTTATCGTAGACGACTCGACAAAAACAGCATTTAAGCACGTATACCATAATTAGCAACACCACAACGTAAAGAACAAATCACACTTCATAACACCCTCCCCACCCCTCCTCCCACCCCCCACCCCTAAACCTCATGATCCGAATATTGCCCCCATAACTGCATTCCCTTCGTCCCTATGACCCCACACCTGTGTTGAAATACTATGTTAAATACTGAAGATGATGTATTGTCCAAATACATGTCTAACATTAATTTTACTCCCACCCTCACAAACCCCATGTCCCCACCTTGTTTCGCATAATTTATCATTTGTCATTCAGGTTCCTATTGTTGCTTATTTGTGTATTGTTTTATTTACACAGCCTATAAACAAACATTATAAAGTCATTATTTAATACTATTTTACTATTATCATATGTGTACGGTACTTTGGTCCGCAACGCACAAAATGACCCCAATGACCCCCTCCCCCTTTTCTATTCATTTTATTATCCCTAAATTAATACTTACAGTTGTTTTGTTGATTTTAATAACATGTTCGGCCTTATTTGAACCCTTTTACGAGAACACTGATTACCAATTTTAAAACTCCTCTGTATCCCCACACCCCATGATAGCTACACGCCTATCCAACCCTTAACCTGGAGGTACTAAACATTCAAATAAACATAAACATTAACTTGAACATACCTACCTTTCACCTTCCCGCTTAATCGCTCACACAGCAATCTGTTCGGCGAACTTATTGTTTGTTATTTTGGCAAAACATTACTGTTTTCTGTAACTGCATTTTTTTATTGATGCTGCCAGTAATGACAATCCTATTTATTGTACACATCATTTGTTTATATACTCATCACCCTTTATAAATGATAGGCATCTAAGATGTAAATTACTAAGCCGGGTGCTCCTATTGTTTTATTATGTGAGACTGGAAGAGTCATCTCCCCTTTTAGGTAACCCAAAAGTAAAAACTGTAACCCGGAAATATTTAGTTTGTAACATGGATTATTCTCAAAGTTTAAAAAGGAATTTTTATGTTTTTTTTTTATTTTCAGCACTCTTAAAGCCACAAGACCTTAAATTTAAGTTGAATTTGATATCAGTAGGATACTACTGAACGTTTATGTATATTAATTTATACATTATATAGGCCTACATTATATATAATTTTATTAATTTATAGTTTGCTATTGCTGAATGATAATCATATACGGGGTTTATCTAACCTCAGATCCTTTGTAATCTGTACTATGATTATTCCCCTTTGGGTCTACTTTTGTTACTTTTTTTTCTTTCTGTATATATCAACCATCACAGATTGGACACGATATAAATTATTGTTCACTTACCTCTTGTTACTGTTAAACATGTAGCTTTTTTTTTAAAATTGCAAATAGAAGTATTTTTAAAAAAGATATATAGAAAGGGTGTAGGCAAAAAAAAAAATTGTATGAAACAGATATTATAATAGCTATATAGTTATGTCATGGTTTGAGTTTAGCCACAAATCAAATTTATTTGTGAAACATTTTCTAGGTTCTAAGTATCTTATGGAAACGGTAGCAAAAAAAATAATGAAATAACATTACAAAATAAATTGAAGCATTATTTAATTAGATATTGTCAATCTTTAAGTCTCATTTGTTGGACTGCAGTTTTCTTTTATGTCGCACATAATTTGGCATTGAAAATTCGATACGACAATAATAGGGCCGAATTTCAGGGCCAATGATTTGGTAGAAGCAAATATAACAGTTTGCGACATAGCAATGGATTAAAAGACTGTCGGTCGTTCTAGCTGTGTTTATTTACAAAAGCTAAACAGTACGCTTTGGTGACCCGTACCCTGCTTTTTTATCTATGTTTAATACTACCCAGAAATCCTCTCTCTATTGTTCCAATACTTTTGTCCTTCATTTGACGTTAGAATTTTACTAGTTTTGTTCCTCACCGGCCTGTTGGGATTGGTTTTTCTCTCACTCAAAGTTCTGATTGTTGCATAGAGCATTATGTGATCTCCTTTGTTGACTGCTGCTTCAGCCTGCTCTGCCATTTCATTTAGTAGGGCAATATTTCTCCAATCTAGATTTTTGTCTCTCTAAAGGTGTTTCATCTTGTTTCGCACAGGCCAAGCACTATAAAGTGATGCTATTGCATTTTTTTTCACTGCCTGTGACCACCCACATGTTTCCCACAGTATTCTGACGTTCCATGTTCCTATGAGGATAGTTTTTTTTGCGACTGTAGTTTTGGGGTTTCAATTTTAATTTTTCTCGGTTGAAGAAGGGACATCGACTCCGTGGCTTCCTTGCGGGTTTGGCTGCATAGCTTTATCCTTCCATAATGTACTTCTATTATGTGGAGCCCTGATATTTCGAGTACTGGGTAAAGTTTAGATTTGGCTTTGTTCTCTGTAACTATGCTTTAAGTAGAGAAGTAATTTGCCTATAACACAATCCCTTACTTGAAGGACAGAGTCATCGTTTACAGAAATATGCGCACAAAAAATGTGAAACGTAAAATGCGCAAACAAAAATAGCGCAAACAGAAAAATGCGCATTTTTCTTTATTCACATTTATCTGTAGGAGCGAAATTCCGTTGCGTTTTTACTATCTCGTATATACGAATTATAGAGAAAGTATTGTAATTGTGCACAAAAATAACATAAAATTTTGACAGGTTTCACCGTTTTACTTCTCAGTCCTTCATCACATCCGGAGTATAGAGAACTTATTTTAATCAGGCAAAAATTATAAATGCAAATATATAAACATTTTGGCGTTTTATGCGTTATCGATTCGTAAAAATTGGACTTTGCAATTCTGTCCGTTGACTGTGTGTGTGTCTGTGTGTAAACACGACAACTTGAGTACCGTTACAGCTAGGTTGATGAAATTTCATATATAAGTATTTTATCAAACTCGTAGATCCTGATCAACTTTTGAGCGATTTCCGATAAACGGAAACGGTACTTTTTCTACTTTGAATTTGTCAAAAGCCTATAACTTGAGTACTAATTCAGATAGATAAATGAAATTTCACATGTAAGTAAAAGATCTAATTCACTCCCTACCGTCAAATTTTGAGTAATTTTCGTTGATTGAAGGTACTAATTAACGCTATTTCCGATTTCTCAAAATAACGAATGTAAATTTATAAAGTACTAATAAGTTTCCGCAATATTATGCACGTTTTATTTGGTGTTCACAGGTGTGCAATTCTTTTTTTCTACGAGATTTTATTCTATTTTAAAAAGTTTAAATATTTAAAATGGATTAGAATTCATGTCTATATTCCGAGTTCCCATCCCCTGTTTTTTTTTTACAAAATAATATTCGTGAAAGTTTAGGGGAGATCGCTCCCGGTTTATTTTTTATATTAACGCTGTATTCATGCATATTTTTTCGGTCAACAGTCCCGCAATTCCCTCCCCCTATACACGCGTGTTTCTAAAAGTCAATATTTTTGGACCTACTTTTTCAGTATAGAGGTCATGAATGGGTACCCCTATAGAAAAATGAAAACTGATATTCAGAACAGCCATTCCAGTGAGATTTCTATGTCCAGTTATTATCTCCCTCGTTAAGTTTTGCAACCATATCATAGATGGGTGGACTAAAAGGAAAGTACTGTAATCGCCCAAAAAATCGTAATTGAAATTTTCACAAATCTCGACCTTTTACACCTCCTTGAGTCGAAACATTTTGTCAAAAAGTGAGAATTCGATTGCCAAGCCTACACGCCACAGTAAAATATTCCGAGCTCTCGGAAAACTTTGCACAAGCTGGACATTGAAGTTTCCGACGCATACAGGGGAGACCTACACAGTAAATATACGAGTCAACACTGGGTAAGTTAAAATAGGTACCGATATACACATAACCAAAAGCAAAGTACAACCCAACTAATCGAGATCTTAGAAAAACAAAGTTCTAATGTCCATATAGAGAAAAGTATCAAGTCCTTAGTGACACATAAAATTTCACTAGATTCTCAATAACAATCGCCAAGAAAATTGGAATAATGTGTCTAGCTAAGCCCACCAGAGGACTCAGAGTTTCAAATAAAAACATTTCTGCAGAGCGAATTGTCTGTAAGTAACCCTGAAAGGCAAGGGTGGTCTTACGCCAGCGTCTAAGTACAAATTACCACGTAGTTCCCAGGCCGGGCATTCGACTAGTTGTGTGGTTTAGTAGACGCGTGCCACGCAAGAAAAAATCATGAAAATGAAGAGCGTAGCTGTTTTACAACAGGGCAAAGCAGGTGTTACAAGTCATTGTATGGTCAGATTAGAATAGGATAGAATAGTCTAGAACTAGGGGAGAGTGCGTGTGTGAGTTGAGTTCACCGTAGTGTGTAGTAACCCCGGTGTGTTTATGTATTGTAATCCCAAAGTCGAATGCGGGTATAATAGAGGGAGTAAGCGATTGTGAGGGGACAGCGAGTTAGGGAACAGCGAGCTAGTTGTTAGAGGTTAGGACGAGGTCTATTCTGGAATGTGAATATGTGAGACCGAATAAAAGTATTGAATGTAAACACGAGTCGTTCTTGAGTTGAAACTAACCAGGACGTAACAGCAGACAAAAAATAGTTGCCGAACAGCCGAACAGCTAAAATATGTTTAAACTAGATCTAAGATTTATTAGTATAAAAAGTGCAAACGGAATAGAAAACTCTTTACCCACTCATAGTTTCTATGTATATAGTAGTTAATCTAATTTCAAGTAATCTGTTAGAACACACGAAATTGATTTTAAAAACTGATCTGACTGTAAAATATAATCGAATTTTTTTTCCACAAAAACGTTTTAATAACAAGCTTTTATGTAGGAATGCACAAAATAGTAGAAAATAAATTATAGACTACTATTTAAATAACTATAAAGAAAAGCGTGGGTCACTTTAGTATCTATTGGATACCTTTACTAATGTTTAGGAAGAGACTCACGCTTTTCTTTATAGTTATTTAAATAGTAGTCTATAATTTATTTTCTACTTTTTAGTGCATTAGTACATAAAAGCTTGTTATTAAAACGTTTTTTAAGAAAAAAACTAAAAGTACTTTAAGTGTTTTTATTTACAACAGAGTTTCTTGACTAAAAATCATTGCGCGCCTATTGAACGTGATGACGCGCTATTTAACTCGATGACGCGTGTGGAGTAGTTGGATAGAAATGCCTACTAACTTGGTCAAAATTTTTTATTATTTCATAAAACATTAATTAAGCATCCAATTAAATCAAATTTAATGTCACGATGCACCGTCTTCATGTCTGTGCCCTCGTTCCAACTATGAACCCTATCTGCAAGTTAGAAGTGCCTGAAATTTTGCTCGGCCGTTTCGATCTAGACTGACGACTGACGATAGAGGAAGCGAGAGAAAAGCTTGTAAAAATTCATAAAAAACGTTTTAATAACAAGCTTTTATGTAATAATACACTAAAAAGTAGACAATAAATCGTACACTACTATTTAAATTATAAAGAAAAGCGTGGGTCGCTTTAGTACCTATTGGATACCTTTACTAATATTTGAGAAGAAACCCACGCTTTTCTTTATAATTTAAATAGTAGTGTATGATTTATTTTCTACTTTTTAGTGTATTATTACATAAAAGCTTGTTATTAAAACGTTTTTTTACGAATTTTTTTCCAGTACTTTATATGTTTTATTTACAATATAGTACATGACCAAAAAACAAGTGCGCGCCTATTGAACGTGATGGCGCAACCATTGAAAGCGATGGCGCAGCTATTGAACGTGATGACGCGTGTGGTGTGGTTGGATAGACATGCCTACTAATTCGGTCTAAATTTTAATTAATTCGTAAAAAATTAATTAAGTCAAATTTAATTTCAGATTGCATTGTCTTCATGTCTTGACCCACGTGCCAAGTGTGAATCGTATCGGTCAAGTAGAAGTTTCCGAATTTTGAATCCGGCGTTTCGGTCTAGACAGACTCAATGACGAGGAAGTGAGTTAAATAAAAGCTTGTAAAAACAAACAAAAGCAACCAAGCAAGAGCTCTTTTAGGTTTGAAATTTACAATCAACGCGTTCATTAAAAGTGCGATTAAGTTTAGATCTACATCTAACTAGTAAATTTGTTTTTATGTTCTAGTATACAGAATGTAGAGGAAGTATTGTAATCGTGCACAAAAACTACACGACATTATTTACAGTTTTCACCGTTTTACCTCTCAGCATTTCATCATATACGGAGTGTAGGGAACTTATTTTTATTGGGCAAAAATTCTAAATCCAGATTTATCACAATTTTCGCGTTTTACGCGTAATCAATTCGGAAAAACTGGACTTTGAAATTTTGTCCTTGTGTGTGTGTATATATGTTTGTGTATGTGTGCCTGTAAACAATATACCGTTACAGCTAGATCGATGGAATGTCATATAAATGTACTATATCAAATTTGTAGTTATGTATCAGTTTTTCATCGATTTCCGGTGACCGGAAGTGGGGCTATAGTCCTAACTATTATACACATATTATTTTGCCATTCAGCTGGTACGCAATTCTTTTTTCCACGATATTTTATTCTATTTTTCAAAGTGTAAGTTATTAGAAGTGGATTAAAATCGTGTTTATATCCCGAGTCACCTTCCCCCGTAGTGTTATATAAGAATATTCGAGAAAGTTTAGGGGAGATTACTCCATGTTTTTTTTTAGAAAGGAATCGTATTTGTTAAAAATGTTCATATGAAACGTTGTAGCATTTAAAGTATTCCTACTTAATAAACAATAAGTAGAAATTACTATAATAAAAACCGCTGAATAAATCACGGAAATCATGTTTTATTTCATGAGAACATAAATAGATTAACATTTGACGGGTAATAAGTATAATCCAAAATGTGGATACAAAATTCGTTTATTTCTGACTTAGCTAACAGCATTTAAAAAGGTCCCTGACTAAGTAAAACATATTAAAACTTCTACATGTGTTAGGGTAGGCCTACACTTTTGCATTAATATTTTCTTTACACTAGTAAAATGTACATAATTAATCTACTTAATATAAAAGTGTTTTTTACCTT